TTTTCATTCGAGAGAGTGATATTAGTCAACTTTATTCTCTGTGGAGAATTTGTGTGCTTTCTTGAACTAATCTTTGCGAGGGTATAGTATCTCTTATTTATTCTTTCTTCTTCTCCTCGTTCCACCCAGCATCAAAGCATCAACCCACCATACATGATACTATGACTTTGTGGACTCGTGCTTTTGATAACCAGTCATTCGGGCTTGGTCGTTGTGAACACCTTTGTGAGGAGGCACCTTTTTTTCCCGAAGGAACAGGGTTGCCGAGTTCACAAATGCCATATAAGGTTAGGATTGTTTGTTTCATTGCATAAACAAGGTTTTTGGGTAATGATTATTGATAATGCAAGTAATACCTGCAAGAATGAGTCGCATAGTAACAAGAATCCAGGCTACACGGCTCATGTCAGGAAGTTGCATGCCCTTCAAATGAAAACTTATTTCTTCCTACTATCCAAAGTGGTTTCTCATTTTTGCTTTTGTTTACTGTTGGTGAAATTACCTGCCTATATCAAGCAAAAGTAGCCTATTTAAGCGATGTGCACATAATTTCTGCTCAAGTGGTATCCAGGTCCATTAAAAAATCCTAGCTTAGGGAGTTCAAGCATATTAAATGGTACATTTTGAACCTTCTTGGAAAAGAGAGAGGGAAAAAATAGCCATGTGCATTTTATTAAGCTTAGTCGAACATAGTGATGACCATAAGTATCATTAATACATTGACTGCAGTGTCAGGGAAGGAGATGGCTGAAACTAGAATGGAATGAGATAACAAAGAAAGAGATTACAGTTTTTGGTTTAATAGAGGAAATGACCCCACACAGATTTGTTGGGAAAGTAAGTCTGATTTGATTGAATTGAAAAGTTGCATGAGCATAATTTAGGTGCAAATCCACTAATGAAGATAACATGCCACGTTTCCTTACATCCAATTTGCAAATGATGATGGACAACTTCAGAAAATTTGAAATTTAATCCAGCATTTGCCACCGTGTTATTTATGAAGACAGTGTTACTTTAAAAAAGTTGATAACGAAGAAATTTAAAGATATTTTAGCAATGAGTCTATGATACAAAATTTATATTATATTAAAAGATACTTAGGAATATGTTTACAGTGCACTTTGTTTACGGAAGCTTCTAGGTTTATGTATTTATATAGTAGAAGAAAGATTGTAGAATTAGATGTAAAGGTTTACAACAGGCTTGGCATGGTTGCAGGAAATTCATCCGAAGCATGTGGAATTTTTCTAGACAGTGAGTAGTTTTCAGTGTTTAACTAGAAATGAATGTAGAGGGGAAAGTAAGTGATCAAGAGAGCTTTGTAAGGTAGAGTTTGAAGATGAAATCGGCAGTTTTTCGATGATTGTACTATTATAGCTAATAGAAAACAAAACACACAGAAGAAGAAGAAGGATCTAAGGGTCTTAGCTAGAGCCCTTTAGCTTTACTCTCACAAGGTTTAGGTAACATCTGACGCAAACCCAGTTTATTAAGGCTTGGGTAGTCTGGTTTTGTGCGAACTCTTCTCGTCAAGAAGTATTGGCAGGAACTCAGTTAAATCAAGCAAATTGCAAAATGTTATTATGTGGCACATCCAAGAGGAAAAGCTGGTTTAAAGCTAGACAGATGCCATAAGCAATCTGTAACTTTGCTATCTGATTGGTGTGTGTGTGTCGTGTTAGTGATTTCGTTCACTAGATTGTTGGTGCTTATGCAGAATCTGATTACTTATTATTCCAAATGTCATAATATAATCTTATTTTCATTTCTACTTCATTTTTTAGTTAAAAGCATTTGCCTTTTTACGGTCAAGGTTTTTTTATTGATTTTTATGTCTTGAATGAAAATTAACCCCTCACATTTTTCCCCATTGCAGTAGACCCGATTTACTTGATGCTGCACTGTTGCGACCTGGCAGGCTAGATCGCCTTCTTTTTTGTGATTTCCCTCCACGGCATGAGAGGTTGGATATTCTTACAGTACTTTCGAGAAAGGTTTGTATTCATTTGTGTAAAGCACAATGAAATCCCATTTTCTAGTAGATATTATATTATATTATATAATTTACTTCAATAAGGCAGAAACAGGGACCTAGATAATAATCTTTTTTTAGGTGGGAATATCGTATTCTAAGGTTCTTAATTTTGTTATACTGATATATGAACACTTTTGAGATCACAAAGGGTGCCGCCGCACAGGTTGAATATTTTTCTTTTTTGACATGTCTTGCTACTATCCTTGCTTATGTGTTTAGAATCCTAGCGCATACATCTGTTTAGAATGATACAGTTCTAATAAACTTGGTCAGTGGTTGGAGAAAGGTAGTGAAGATCATCTTGTTCATTTTGTTATTATTTATTACACTACTGCAGTGGTAATATGCTCAGGCGTAGAACATGGTGGGTTTAAATACGAGGGTAATCACGTCATGCAACGATACCAAATTTATGTTCTCTAGCTGGCCTTCCCCTCCCAGCTCCCTTTGAATGGTTATGAAAATGGGTAATGATGTTTTTTGTAATATATGTAACTTAGCCGGATTATGAAAGCTTAGTTGTAATAAAATATGTTGGAAATGGAAAGCATCTAATGAATTTTTGGTTTTCTACTGCTAAATTCCTTTGGAGCATAGAGTTTCTTCTAGTTGGCCCTACATCCAGCTTTTAGCAAGAGCATAGCAGTCATCTTTAAACATAGGTAGTTAACTTTGCACAATGCGAACTTTGTATTAAGATTGGCCAAGCTACCACTCTTGTGCAGCCCAATTTTTAGAATGCCATTTCTATGTCAAGGGTAAATTTATATCATTGGATGAGGCTAGGTATTTGTTCAACTAGTCTAGGTAATGAACATATTAAAGTAACATGCACATCAAATGGTGAAACTTGATGATTTTTATGTTTAGTGGATGACAAAAATATTGATAAACAGAAAAAGGATGTAAAAAATTGTTGATAAAATATATATGAAGTTTTCTGAAGACAATTTTCCTCAACAGGTGTCTGAACAATATAACTGAGTGTTAGATATGTGTGTGATTGATACCATGAGCAACTTTTCATCACTGAATAGCTTTTCAGTTACTATCAATAAAATTTCTCCATACCTGTTTAAATAAAGATTATAATCCATGGTGTGATAATTCGTATTTGGCAGAGTCTACGTTCTAAAGTGGTTGTGTTTTGAGCAGTTCTACAATCTGAGTGGGGTGTTGCCATGAAAGATTGATTAGAAAAAGCTCATGCTCTGAGAATTGACTTACATGTCGTGAGTCGTGACTGTACTGTTCTCATTCTTCTCTTTTATTAATCCATACGATTCACAGTGAGATTAGAAATCAGTACTTTTGTTTATAGAAGCAGCATAAATCTGTGGGTCCAATAATTCAGTACAGAGTGCTTGATTTTTCAGCTTTATCAAATGCACCCTAGTTTATATTTAAAACCTAATTTACCTACAAGATATTGAATAAAAATATTTGAAGTCCAAATGACCTGGTTTGAGGGAATTATCATCAATTACATTGGGCTTCATCAATTAAACGTCCTGATAAGTTATATAATTTGTTTCGTAGTTGTAAAACACTGAGTCTTTGAGGAAAGTTGTAAAAACTCATAAAAAATAATGGTTTTGTGGGTCATGGTTAAAATTCATGAGGAAAGGTTATTGGGGGTATTTGGAGTGTACAGCACTATCCGAAACCGTAGTTATTTGGGAGCTATTTGGAAAGGCTTGTATGAAAATAATGGGAATCCACTATAAACTACTAAGGACCAATACTAAATCTTCTGAGTACTTCCCATGGTAAACACAAGGATCATTCATTAATCTTTTTCTTGCTGCATTTTGGTTATAGAACTTTTTGATGTGCCTAATTCGTCTTTGCCCTTGATTCATGGGATTGGTGCAGTTACCATTGGCCAGTGATGTAGACCTGGATGCCATAGCTAGAATGACCGAAGGATTTAGTGGAGCTGACCTTCAAGCTCTTCTATCAGATGCACAGCTTGCTGCAGTTCATGACATTCTGAGCTGTGAAGATGGCAGCAAGCCTGGGAAAATGCCCGTCATCACGGATAGTCTCCTGAAATCTATTGCTTCTAAAGCAAGACCATCAGTTTCGGATGCTGAGAAGCAGCGATTATACAACATTTACAGCCAGTTCTTTGAATCAAAGAGATCCGTTTCTGCACAGGTCTTTCCCCCCTTCTCTCTCTCTCTCTCACACACAAACACACACACACGATGAATTTTGTTATTACTTTACCGTATTGTGGCTATTAACTTTCAAGTTACTTGTCTACAGTCAAGAGATGCAAAAGGCAAAAGGGTAACTCTAGCATAAGGATTAACCTGATTTTGCAGTGTTGGAAGAGATGCAAAACACGAACGTGCAAACTTAGCATTACTACGAACCAACCAAGCTGACACTGCAGCGGAGTAAATTATTGGGAATTCCATTTTTTGTTCTTCCCTCTTTTCAATATCATTGTAATGAGTTTTCATTTATTTCTTAGCTTAGCATGGATCATACAACATAGCACTTGTACTTATTATAAGAAATGGTATATGGCAGATTCATGTCTACCAGTTTAAGACTCTGTCTGTCTCTTTTTCTTTCTCTCTTTGATTTGGCTCCATTTACAATTAAAAGAGCTTTAAAAATTCCAGTTTTTGCTGTTAAGACATCCCCATAAAAATGTAATCACAATCGGAACGGTTAATTATGAATGATGGTGTATGAAATCGAGAAGTATGAACTGGGAGAGTGAGCTCCGTGTGTTAATAGATGAGTTGTGTGTGTGTTCGTGTGGTGTGGTGGGGTGGGCCATGGTGTATAAAATCATCCATAAATGTAATAAAAACAATCATCCATAAATGTAATAAAAACACTCATAAATATGGTAAAATACTTACAAATTTCATAATTTTTTTTGTATGAAATAAAAGTAATAAAAATGGTTACAACAAATATGATAAAAATACTCACAACAACAATAAAAACACTGACAAAAGTAATAAGTTTTTTAGTTTATAAAATAACCCACAAAAATTATAAAAACACCCTTTAAGATAGTAAAATTTTGAGGTATTTTATTGACTTTTTTTTTTGTGTTTGTACCATAGTCAAATCCCTCTTCTTGGTATCATCAATGAATATTTCTTATCTCAACAAATTAAACTATAGGGATATAATTAAATAATAATTTATATTCCTCAGATTATGATGATGTGTGGCATATCAACAGACCTTCCGGAAAGAAAAGGATTAGTGGTTGAAGAAATTCATGGCGTAAATTATGGATTTTTGTAAAATTCGAGGGCATAAAATGTCAATCGTCCATGTGGACTGCTTGAGTAAGGGTCAAATAAATAACTTGGGTTTAAAAAGAAAATAAAAAATGACAAAGAAAGAATTGGTACATGAGAAAATTGCAAATCAAATGAATTTGATTATTTTTAGGATTAATTGCACTACAGGTTCCTAAAGTATAAGATTTATCTCATTTTAGTTCTCAATATTTCAATTGCATTATTTTGATATATCTTTAGAATTTTACGGTTCTAATAAATTAGAATTAATTGTTTAATTAAGATAAGAGCAATACTACTTGTACCTTTTAAATCTAATTTGAAGACATAATTTACTATAAAATAGGGGGTGCTAATTTTATTAATTGACAAAATACAATACGAACCTGAGACAACATAATTTTAAAATTAAGACGATTACTATGCATAATAAATTAGTTAAATTAATGTTAGATACTTGTAAAACATTAAATAATTTTTTGTATGAGACATAATTTGAGAATATAATAATTATGACCATTAGATTATTAAGAACATTTTCAGCCCTTCCCTTTTTGTACTCAAATTTAAATTTGGGTAAAAATTATCTAAAATACTTCTCTAACGTTAAATCTATATTCATACTAGATGAAGAGAAACTATTTTTTAAACTCAAATTAAGGGAGACCTAAATCTTAATGGTGAGATTTCACCATACTGTAAAGATTAAATTATTATATTTTATTTTTTTTTAAATTTAAGTTTAAAAGCCTTCGTGAGTTTCATTCAATATTAAATACACTTTATTATTAATTCAATGGCCATAATACATTATGTTTTAAAATTATATCCTTAAATTGTGTCATAATAATATTAGTGATCTAAAAATAAGAACACGAAAATGACAAGAGATACCCCAAATATACAAGTGTTGTCCTAGTTGACAATAAAGTACTATGAGTGTGTTTGGGTAGTGGGTTAAGGTGGGATAACCTCCGTAAGGATAGAGTAATAAGATAATAGGTCCCACAAAATTTTTGTTTGGGAAGTCAAAAATTAGTTAGGATATCAATCCCGGGGTTTATTCTTGACCCGAATGCTACAGTACTTTTTAACCCTACTGCATGGGTTAAAATTAACCCCAGCTCCACCCTGGGTTTCAATCCCAGCCGACGGGTTATGAAGGATAATGACATATTTACCCATCTCATCCTCTCTTGAGTTCTCTCTCTTTGGCTTTGTGAAGGCAACGAATAGCCCATATCTCTGGCTCTCGCTCTCCGTCTGTCTCCTCTTTCTCTCTCGTTTTGTGAAGGTGACGAAGGCCAGGCCTAGGGTTTCTGCAAACCATATTTGGTGGGTATGTTTATTTGGGTTGGTGGTGGAAATGTTTGGTGCTTCACGGTGCTGGGTTTGGTTGATTCGCTGTAATGTTGGTGGTTCAACGGTGTTGGGTTTCATTGATTCGCTGTGGCGGTACTTCACGGTGCTGCGTTTCGTTGTTCTGCTTTGGTGGTGGTGGAATACCCTGTGTGGTGGTGGTGGTGTTTAGTGTTTTCTGGTCGTGGATTTCGTTGTTATGCTTTGACGGTGGTGGAATACCTTGTGTGGTGGTGGTGTTTGGTGCTTTCTGGCCGTGGGTTTCGTCAAGTAGGTGGCTATGGCGATTTTGGTGGTGGAAAGTGGAGGAAGCAGCTATGAAGATGATGATGGGTATAATGATAAATATCTACAAAAGTCTAGTGGAGTCCATCCCATTCAATTGATCCTTGCCAAACAATGAATTGCGTTGGATGGTATACATAACCCATCTAATTAAGTGCTTGAATGAGTTTGGGTGGATGGGTTATGATACAAAAAATTTAATCCATTCCTATCCTTGTCGATTATCCAAACACACGACTAAGAAGTCAAATTATTATTATTATTTTTTGGATATTATATTTCCATTGATTGTGGTTGTTTTTATTATTTTACTAGTATTTTTAATATTATTTTTGGTATCTAAAAAAATAGTAAAAGTAATTGTCATAGTAATAATAAAAATACTCACAAGTGTGATAAATTATTAAATTACTTACAAAAGAGATAATTTTTGTATATCGAAGAAAAGTAGTAAAAATAATTACCCCAAATGTAGAAAAAACATCCACAATAGCGATAAAAATATCTATAAAAATAATAAATCATTTATAAAAATAATAAAAAATTTTATTATAAATTAATTTACAAAAATTATAAAAATATTCATTGAACTAGTAAAAGCTAAAGATAAGGTACGAAATTTTTTCTTCCTTATAGTCAAGTCCAACTATTATGAGTCTGTTTGATAGATGTATTGTGAGGAAATTATATATTATATTATATTATTTTTTATTTAATTTGATCTAATATTTTATTTGATAAGTAAATTTAATATAGTATTAATTTTAAAAACATAAATTAATTGTATACTTATCGTATATTTTTAATACGATACCCCTGTATTCTGAAAGTCTTTTAATATCACAAAGAGAGATGGTATTATAATCAAACTCAAACAAATTATTTTACATATTTACAATTATAACCCCCAAATGATAAAATCAAGTTATCATTAATATAACAAATATTGATTGAGAATATTTTTATTAATTCAATATTAAATACGAAAAAATAATTTTTTGACAAAATAACTGATTGAATTAAATAATTATTATTCAATACTTATATTATGTATTATTAAATATTAAATAAAATTAAATATTATACTACTACCATATGTAATTTTGTCTTTTATCTATATTAGAGTGTATTAGTTTATTCCATTCATCCGTTTTTAATACGCTCAGGAGAATCAATCATTACTCCGTCGCTCTCATTCTCGTAAGACATTCTCTGTTGCTTGTTCCAACTGACGTCATCATGGCTTCGACTGTCGGATCGACCTCTAATATCCTGTCAAAGCTAAACATCGATGCCGATTGGGCCGTCGATGCTCCTCCCAATCTTCAGCAGAACCTCTCTCTTCTCTCTCCCCAACAGGTTGGTTCACTTGTACGTGAAAATTATCGATTGGAATTTGGTCGTTCTTGATTGATAGGATGTGTGTGTGCGTGTGTGAGAGAGAGTGATATTGTTTGAATTGAATGTTGTGTTTAGATTGAGCTGGCGAAGATGTTGGTCGAAATGGGACAGAGTCACGTGTTTGAGAAATGGACTGAACCAGGGGTCGATGATGATGAGAAGCGAGCTTTCTTTGATCAGGTACATTGTCATTTATAAATCATGTTGTAATTGGTAGAAGTCGCTACGGGATTTCAGCCCTCCACTTAAAAGATTTTGATTGATTTGGCGACACCGAGCCCCAATAACTTTTACCTATTCGCCAATAGGACCCTTTCCTAAGACGGGATTTCAGCTGAAGAATTTTGGCTGACTTGGCGATACCGAGCGCCAGTAGCCTTTACCTCTCTTCGCCAATAGGATCTTTTCCTATGACAATCTTACTGCACTGATGGGTGTACTGGTTTGTATTAATAGCTTCCAATTTTGATATGCATTGTGTACTCAAAGTCATGTTCTCCCTTTAGTAGAAAATTTATGGTTTTGATGGCGTGAGATCGCTTTAATCATCTTACTTAAAAATGATGAGGTCCTTTTCCCCTTGCCACTACATTTTGTGTTTTCATTCTTCTATGTGCAATTCCACTGGTGACTAGAGTTTCACTTTCCCAAATATTTTTCACTATTCTTTTCGTTGAATTGATTGATTCTAGGTTTTTGTGTAAGTCATCTATATTTTGTCTGAGAAATTGGTTTGCAGTCTCTTTGCTCTAAGTTTTAAGGTGGTGATCAGTATCTTTAGGTTAACAACAATATGTATATATATGTTTGTAATATATTGTGTGTTCGTTGGGGTTGTTTATGTGCATGTTTGTTGTATCACAATTCATACTTTGTGTATTGAGTACGAAAAGTGCTCAAGTCGTCTCCCCCCTGCCATATAAATGAATACTTTCTATGGAGGAGGTACCCAGGCACCTGATCAGGTCGCTAGTGGGTACCTCCTCCATAGAAAGTATTCATTTATATGGCAGGGGGTCTTCCGATGTGGGATTGCCTTAGGAAAGGATCCTATTGGCAAAGAGAGATAAAAGCTACTGGGGCTCGGTGCCGCCAGTCAGCCAGAATCCTTCAAGTGGAGGGCTGAAATCCCCGTAGCGATTTCTACCCCCTACAAAAAAGGTTTTCTAAGGCAATCCCACATCGGAAGAGAGTCGTCTCCCCCCTGCCATATAAATGAATACTTTCTATAGAGGAGGAGGTATCCACTAGCGACGTGATCAGGTGCCTAGTGGGTATCTCCTCCATAAAAAATATTCATTTATATGGCAGGGGGGAGACGACTCTCTTCCGATGTGGGATTGCCTTAGGAAAGAGTCCTATTGGCGAAGAGAGGTAAAGGCTACTGAAGTTCGGTGCCGCCAAGTCAGCCAGAATCCTTAAAGTGGAGGGCTGAAATCCCGTAGCGATTTCTACCCCTTACACATGTCTGATCGGAAATCTCTGATTCTGTTTAGTGGTGCTGTGTCAATGCACAAAACAGTGTGTAGACATATTAAACATTGGCTTATTTGCTGCAAACCCACTAGTTGCTGAACCTCTTATGTTGACTGATTAAACTACCTCTCTCTCTCTCTCTCTCGGATGGGCCATGGGATATGACTTTATTATCTAAGTGTTTGTGAAATTTTGGATTCAGCTGTGAAGACCTCATCAAATTCTGGCTAGATTGAAATTATCTGAATTTTGGGTAAAATTTGTGAAAATGTTTTTATTTTAATTTGCCAAATAGCTTGCTGAAATTGGTGGCTTGGAATTGATGTTGAAGATTTTTTTTTTGTAGTGGTATTATGAACAGTACTGCTACTAATATTACTATGAGATTGAAGTGTAGGTTATAATGGTTGGTATCTAGATTCCCTTATGAGATCTGCTATTGTCGATCTCAAATATATCTTTATGACATTGCCTTTGATTTGGCCTACTGTAAAAAAATCTGCTATTCTCTTTGCATATCGTCTGTTGACGTAAAGTTACTAGATTTTAAAACTCTTCACAACTGCATAGCTGCTTCTTTCAGATGGCTCGACTTAATGCAAGCTATCCTGGGGGTTTGATGTCATATATCCAAACTGCTAGACAACTGTTAGCAGATTCAAAGGCTGGAAAGAACCCATTTGACGGCTTTACACCTTCAGTAAGTTAGTACATTCAATGCCTGCAAATGATGAATCCTGTGCATATGTTCTGTTTCTTTTTAATTGATTTGAAGTTAGTTTTCTCTCGCTGAGGTATGTCCTTTTTTTGAATTCTATTTTGTTAAGAAGGTTAATGTATTATTAAGGTACATTGTTGAATTCAAAATAGAGAGAAGAAGACTGCAATTTTTTGGAGAATACTCTGAGAAGACTGCAACATAGTATATTCTTTTGGCAGCCAAATCCCTTCAAACATAATAAATCCTACGATTGTTACTCTGTTCTGTCCAAACTCCATGTGCTAATTTTTAGCTATATTTGTTTCTAGAATGAATCCTTTGTCAGCTAGTGCTTCTTGTGAAGCATACGATTTGTTGCATGTGTAAATGATGATTGTCCTGTTTATCTCGGATAATGACCACATAGTCAACTCTGAAATTTGGTAAAAGAGGATGTAGTGGATTGACCTTGCTGATCAGAGAATCTCCTTCAGAATTTAAAGAAGCACACAGTATATGGACTGCAGGTGGCCACATGTCAAGGTAAAACTAGGTTGCTGTCAACTGGTGCCTGGTACCATATATAACAGCACATGTATTTGACACTTTGTAAATATCCCAAAAAAATGTCACCTTGTCTGATGTTCAAATAGTTGACCGAGTTTAAGTGACTTAAGTAAATGGAACACAAATTTCACCATTTCTTATCAGGGGAAAAAAGCAAATTGAAAAGAGAAAATGTGGATAACGTAAGTGAAGCAATACTTTTGGACAGACTTGTTTCAAATGCGTGGATCCTTTTTCCTTTAAATGCTGATGTATCCTCAATGACTGGGATGGGAATAACTGCCTGAGTTCTGGACATTAAGATGCCAACTGAATAATAGTTCACGGATAGCCGTGGTTTCATGTTTTTCTACTTCAGGACTGAGATAGAGGAAATCTGGCATACCATATGTTGATTTACATGGGTAGCACCATTCCTGGCACTTCTGCTAGATTCATGATATGACTGCTTTATGTTTTCTTCATAATTATTAAATCGATATTCGGGAATCAAAATATTAGAGTTGAGAATCGGGAATCGCAAGATTCGACACAATATTCGAACAAAGATAAAAAAATAACATGTATTGAACATTAAATATTGCACATTATTGTATTTTAAAAACCAACAATTGAGTGTATTTACATGGTACAAGAATAGGAAGCTAAACTTTAGTGTACCTCTGTTACTTCTTTCTTAATACATAATAAATTGCTCCATCAAAATGAATGGCCACGATGAAATAGCAATTGTTTTCCTGATACTAATGAAGTTAACTAAAACAGAAAAAGGCCACATTGATTTGAACATGTAAACTTAGAAAATCACTTCCCACATTCGATTAAAAAATAATTTTTTGATGAAAAGCAGAAAAAAAAAACATGTATTGAAGAAGATGTAGGGTGTGTTAGAGTTTGATAGATGTTGTTGACGAATAAGCATACTTTGAGTGAAGGAGACATTGTCTCTGTGTGATGTTCCCAGATGCTAGAACTGTCACTTAAAAAGGCAGAGGCGCGAACAAGAGATACAGAGAGAGACGTGAGTTTTATATTTTGAGGTGGATCTCTTTTAGCAAAACGACGTAGTTAAAAAACAAAACGAATCGTGTGATTCATTCAATTCGTATCAAATTGTACGATTCAGCTGTGATTCCTAGCAAAAAAATGATTCTATAGTAAGATAAGAATCGAATTGGGATTAAATCAAATCGAATCATACTAATTGAACGATTTTAATAACAATGTTTTTCTTTGTGAACGTATTGTCTGGTCAAAAGATTTGTGATGGTTTGTATTAGACAACTTATGTTGTCACATTCACCTAATTTCAGTTAGTCTGACGGTTGACATCTGTACTTGTTCTTTGTGGAGTTATATGATATGTCTATGAAAAAAGCAGAGAATGGGTTCTCTCAACTGGAGGTTTTAAACAACGTTGATGTTCATTAATGATGTGGAAAATGTTATTGCAGGTTCCATCAGGGGAGGTTCTGACTTTTGGTGACGATAACTTTGTTCAATTTGAGAATATTGGAGTTAGGGAAGCACGAAATGCTGCATTTGTTCTTGTTGCGGGGGGCCTTGGTGAACGGCTTGGATTCAATGGCATAAAGGTAAAGAATTCATTTTCTTGTGTGAGCATTTTGCTGAATGGTGGAATAAAATTTTGGTTGTTGCAACAATTTCCTGGCATTTGATCTGGAACTAATTATTCATTATTATATTAGGTGGTTGTGCTGCATGGGAATGATTTCACCTGTAGATATATTATGTGCACCATATCCACATTTTTAGTACTGAAACTGGCAGCTATTTGTCTATAGCCTGAAATAAATCCGTTACAAACTTTTTGACCACTTTTTATTATATCTGACAGGTGGCTCTTCCTGCAGAGTCTACGAGTGGAACATGCTTCTTACAACACTACATCGAGTCTATTCTAGCCTTACAAGATGTTAGCGGTAGAATGATTCAAGTTTTGCTTCTACTAAGACTTTATAAAATGATTGGGCAAAAAATGGTGGACATATCTTATATTTTAATGAGCAGAATAGAATTTCTAAATTTGCAGGCTTAATGAGTTTGAAGACAGATTTGAATATGTGTTCCGGAAATGGCTTTCATTGACAAAAACAAACATTTCACTTATTTCTAGAAATATGTGACAGTTGCTCACATAAATAGTGTCGTAGTTGATTTACTACATAAAGTTTCCCTTTCTGGACATTAGGTGAATTCTTTTGTGGAGAAAGTATTGAAGAGAAAAAAAAAAATCTCAAGGCCCCTTAATTCTGGTTCATGTCCGATCATAAAACTGCTTTTATTGATTGAAAGAATATCGGATTAAATCCAGACTAAGCCATAGTTGGACTAGTTTGACTGGTCTTGAGGAAAAAAATGTTGTATGCTATGTGGAGTTCAATAGTTGTTAATCAATTTGAGGACCGTATCTGGCAGTGAACTTATAGATCCAGAATATTTGTTTAGTTCCTTGGGCTGAGTTATGTGACAGATATGAGTTGTCCCAGGAGATTATCAGGTTATAAGATTGAGTTATTTTTTCTTTCCCGTATAAAAACACATGCAGCAAGATTGCATAATCAGACTTTTATATCACATAAACTTGTGAAGTATCCAGCCATAAAAATGGGCCACTGAGCTTTGGCGCTAAAAATTTTCCTTTCTACATAGCAAACACCAGACTACCTTTTGAGTCTTCTTCTGTAAGATATTTATAAAGAAGGTGATCTTTACATTAAACTGATAAATGAATTCCGTGTCTATAACCTATAGTGTTGCTTTAAAATTTGTAGGCGAACACCAAGGAGAGATTCCTTTGGTTATAATGACATCTGATGATACACATTCACATACTGTGGAGCTGTTAGAATCAAATGGTTATTTTGGAATGAAATCTACACAAGTAAAACTTTTGAAGCAGGCAAGTATCTGATCCTGATTGCAGATCTTGTATCTACTTAAGCAGAATGGAATTGTTACATATGTTGCTGCATATTTATGCCAGGAAAAAGTTGCGTGCTTAGATGATAATGATGCAAGGTTTTCTGTAGACCCACATAACAAATACCGAATTCAGGTAACTTTACTATTTCTTGGATTTTATGAGTACACACATATGCTGATATTTCTTTTGAGAAACACTAGGAATTCTGTCTTTCATATAGTAGAATTTTATTTTTGTCTTTTCATCTGTGTTTTCCTTTGCTTTGTGTAATAGACAAAACCTCATGGCCATGGTGATGTTCATTCACTTCTTTATTCAAGCGGCCTTCTAAAGGAATGGTAGGGTCTTCTTATAACCTTGTTGTCCTGCCTCTTTTGTTTATCGCTGATTTTGATATGTTGATTTACCATGGCAAGATCTCCACAAACTTTAGGTGCATGCTTGAATGCCTCTTATATCGAGTTTTAAAACTCAAATGCGTGGCCTTGATCCATGAGAATCCATTTAACTATAATGAACCGAGATATCCTTCTATGAATTAGAATACTGCTCAGTAAAAAATAAATTTACTTAGTAATGCTGGGCAAAGTAATTGGAGAGACTTATGACTCTCACTTGCATATAACCATCTGTCTCGATGCTCAAACACTGATTTACCCTTTAGAAATCAGTTCCCTGGAATCTCAGTCATGATGCTGGGTTAAGAATTTCTTGACATTGAATTTTTCCATGTGTCCATTTTCAAGCTAATTGATGAAATTTATAATTGTTTATGAACTCCAATTCTGTGTTGACGTGACTTTAACCATGTTCATTATCATACACAGGCATGAAGCTGGTTTGAGATGGGTTTTGTTTTTTCAAGATACTAATGGACTTCTCTTCAAGGTTTGGTTAAGTTTTGTTCCCATGTATATATTTTTGGAGGAAGACTTATGTTTGATTGTAGTGGAATAGTTATCCTCTTTCCTTCTTGATATGTCAGGCCATTCCAGCAGCATTGGGTGTTAGTGCCTCCAAACAATACCATGTTAATTCTCTTGCTGTCCCTCGCAAAGCTAAAGAAGCCATTGGAGGCATAGCCAAGCTTACTCATGCAGATGGTACTTTTTATTGATTGTCAAGTACAAAGGAAGGGAAAATATGATATTTTGCTTGGTTTCTGCATCACAACTACTGATCTGCAATTTGACCTTCGAGCTTTCTCATCGATCTTTAATTATGCTTGAGGAACTTTGACTTAGCATATTACTTATCTATCCTATCCCAGGATTAGAATTATTATCCCTGCTTGATGGGAATTAAAGTAATCCACGTTGGATGTACCATGGGACTTGCTGAAACAAGAGTCCCTCTTTCTCTTATTTTAAAGGGAAGGACCAGAACAGTAGCTCTAGATATTCAGATTTTGCCAACTTATTAGTCAGTTCCGCCAGATAACTTCACCATGTCTTTTTAAATTCTCACAATAACTGTAAATAACGGGCTTGAAATGAGGGAGGTTAATGTAAGGTGATGAGCTTGTAGATGGCATGTCCAAATGCCTAGTTTGAATCTTGCCACTTTGTTGCATGTCCCATCCGCTATTGAAAACACTACTCACCATCCAACTTGCATGTTGTAAGCAGGCCACCAGCATTTAATATCAAATGACCAATATGACATTCTTGTGATCCCTGAAATCTGATATTTGAATAGGTGCAATGTTACTCTGTCAACCTCTGCTCTGGCGGTTTGCTTCATCAGTCCAAAGTCTTGATTCAGACTATTTGTTCTAGTCTTCTAGACATCACATTTTTTATTAAGAAACTTAAAGTTACCATTGTATATGTAAATCTCGATTTTCTAGTAATCCCAAACCTCAACATGCAAATCTATGGTTTGCTGATACAACCTGATCATTCATTTAAGCGTATATGAACCACAGGTCCACAACAAATTCATTGGTACAACCTCCTCTGGACCAAAAAAAAAAAACTTTAATGCTTGAAACATAGGTATTAAAAGCCCAAAGCAATTTCCATGTAGAAAATAAGTTGTTCTTTTTGAGCCAGCCACATAGTGAACGATAAATTGTTAGACTTGCACGTTCTGTATACTTTCAGAAGATTTATATGGAGAGGTTGATTTAGGAAGTAGGATACACTTAATGAGCATTCTTCTATAAGTGTGGCTGAAGTTATATTACCATGGTGTTTGAGTTTCTATGTTATTTAAATAAAACATGATGTAGCATGGAGAAGCAATACTCACAAGAATGTTCCTGTGGACAATGAACTTCCTATTTTAATGATAGACTACTAACATAAAATTCAATTGACTTCAGGGAGGACGATGGTGATTAACGTGGAATACAATCAGCTTGATCCTCTGCTTAGAGCAACTGGATATCCTGATGGTGATGTCAATTGTGAAAACCGCTATTCTCCTTTTCCTGGAAACATAAACCAAGTACATTTTTTTTCATAAAGATATATTGTTCTTATTTCTTTTATTCACACATACATTTCACAAGCATGTTTTTGGTTTTCCATTTTCTTTGCGATGACTCATTAGCCAGGCCTGATTATTGTCTTCATGTGTTTGCTATTTGAGCTATTTTCTCCATTGATGGGATGTCAATAATTTCCAACGATTTAGATTAATTGTTTCCTTTAAGTTGATTTTGAGAATGAGTTGTCATAATGTTCAGGCCCTTCCCTTTTTTTAAACAGCTCGACCACCCAAGTCCAGAGAAGGGTGCATAAGGTTGACAATAGGCAGAATATCATCATTTAAACCCTAAAAAGGAACAAAATGTGAAAAATTTTGTTCTCAAATATAGAATGGTGAAGCCCAGTTGGTTGCAATCTTTATCAGGCCGCGTTGTAGTCATTATCATCTCAAAGTTTCACTAAAAGTTATCAGGGGCTGTGTTTTTTTGGTTTTCAAGTTATATAATCTATGTCTTGTCACACATATTAGTTACTTGAGGGCATTGGAATGACAAATAATTTTAGGTCAAAATGATCGAAAGGAGTATTGACTCATGTATGTCATGAGTATCAGATTTCTCCAATATCTTGACTCACTCCGTCTTATGTGCAGACATAAGTTTCTTGAGTGAAGCCTATCTGCCCACGTATTTTGCGTCTGGACTCTTACGCAAACATCTCTACCTGTGTTTGTGCCGGACTGTTTGTCTTGTGACGTGGTGGGTGGTTGCATTCACATGCACATATGTGCATACACAGAAAGGGTTGGAAATGAGAAAATGGTGCGGGCTAGGTGGGATGAACTCAAGAAAATCTCGATGTATGGTGCCCTCTGCATAAATATTTTTGCAGTGACAAGTATAACACAACAAATTGATTGCTCCATAATCATTATTGCCTATTAATACCATTGGACTAGGTACCCTCAATTTTTTTTGTTTGACATTAGGTATGTATTTTTTAAAATAAAATTTAAACATATTTCATTGTGCTCACCCTATTATTGCGTTCTTGTGATATGGATTAGGATAAAAACTCTTGCCTAAATGATTACTAACTTTTGACCAACGTTATTGGAATTTGGAACCTAATTTCAGTACCTAATATATTGTGACATTAAATCTAATAGTGAGTCCTAATATTTAATAGAGTCCGCTATCCATATGATGGATACGCTTCGGTTATGTCCCAATAAGTTTTGGACATATTAGGGTTATTGTGTAATTTTTTTAAATTATAGAATTATTTTATTATTATTTGGAAATGAGTGCATAATGTAAGAACCTACAGAGTCATAAATGGATGATTGTTACCATGATTTTATATATTAAAAAAAAATATTGGTTGATGGCACCGATTTGTATCGTAGTCTTATTCTTGGTACCAAACTATAATTAATTTTTTTTTTAATTTTTGTGTACACGCGATGTAGATCAATTTTTTATTTTTACTATGTTTAATAAACTTTGAAGTTTTTAAATATGATTTTAACAAATATGAATTTATGAACTTTTACAGTTAATTGGAAAAAAAAAAAATTAGAACTCGTTAATATGCCCCTAAACTAATTTACTGGCTCCGCCCCAGTGCCTATTTGCCTGTATTTTGTTCTCCTGGATTCTATCTAATGTTGGGTGCACTTTTGATGGATACCTCCTTTTATTAGAAACGTTATTTACAAAGCATTAGGTGCAGAAAAAGCCGTAGTAATGAGGTAATCGATGATCAAATAGTTTACTCACATATTTGTCACCTTAGAGAAATTTATGTCATCAGATTTGGTTCTTTTGGTGTTGATTGATTATTATTTTTTTTATTTTTTCCCTCCTAGCTAAATATTTTCTTGCTTAGGCTTGACTTGTGGGGTTATATATTGTGTGCAGTTGATTTTCGAACTTGGCCCTTACATCGAAGAGCTTACAAAAACTGGAGGTTCTATAAAGGAGTTTGTAAACCCCAAGTAATTTGTCTGTCTGCTTCTCTGTATGATCAAGACTTGATTTTAAAATAATGATGCTTGTGCATTGTTTTGGTGGTTTCACTTTTCATTGTCCGAAAATATTCGGATTGTTTTCCATCTACTTACTTCCTGCACAAGTTACAGAGCTATACTGTTGTATTTTTTTTCCAAGAAAAAATAGTTATTCTGGTTCTGAATCAAATGTGGCAGATAATAGCTCACGTAATTTGGTTGCATATATTATCCAACACATGTTGCCTATGTGGGTAAAGAAATACAACACATCAGTTACGCATCACGTAGTGATTCATATGTTTTGATCAAATAGGAAAAAGGACAGTCTAGTGCACGACCCCCGTATGCTGAGAGACTAGTTTCGCGACTCGAATCTATGACACCCAGATCATAATGAAGTGATCTTACTGCTACAGCAGACACCCTCTTTTTATCAAATATATTTTGTTAAAAAAATTAGACAAGTAAATAAACAAGGAAACTAAGCGTTAAGGAAGACATACCCAAATGCCCAATACAAGCCCTCTAAGCAACTCCAGAAGCTAACCTAAATCTAGACAGAAAGAACAGAAGTAGCTGAGAAAACCCAGCATGTTTGACAAATAAAATCAGTGACACAGTTCTATGAATGATGTTTGAGAGGTCTTCCATTGAATGAGTATCCTTCAGTTTTCTGAAATATCACTATTAAGCTGCGTGTCCGTGAGAGTGCATCGTTTCTCCATCCATATGTGATTAGTCAAAGGTGCAAATGCTACCTTCCTGGCAACCCCTACATATACATTCCTTTATTTTTTTGGCAACTCAATCGGGATGGAAACTCCAGAGCCCCAGGCACTGTCTTTATGGCATAGCTCGGCTAAAATCAGGGTTATAAATCTGTGAGAAAGTGGCAACGGAATACTGGATGATCTTGGTATCCTTCACAACAACTGTAATACACAAAATTTCTGGAGATAAAGTTTCTCACCCATAGTCTATCATCTTTAGACGACCTTCCTTTGATTGCCAACCTAAATATGAAAAAGGTTCCTTGGTAGCTGTGCTAGATCAAAACCAGACGCTGTTATAGAATTGGTGGCAGTTTCTCAGTTAAAAGCGGGAAGAGTGATACAGATAGATAAGTATTTGAGAGGCGAAGGCAGCTATAGGATGTGATCTTCTCTTTCGGAGTTAGGTAACGGGGGCATTAGCAGTAGCAGTGTGTGGCTCTATGTGTTGAACTGTTCCTCTCGGGCCATTTCCATTTGTTGGTCACAACTTTACAGTTCAGTTTTGGTAATTCGTTGAGCCCCAAATTATTATAAAAACGATATCCAAGGTACTTTTGTCAACGCCTAAAGATTCCAGTTGTTGATGTACAAGAAAGTTAAATTGTCATTACCTGTACCAGGTTTTGACAATTTGACTCCTTCAGACCTCAAGCTTTATGAGGGTTAAATCATGATATTTGAACTAGCCAGAATTTGGCTGATCACTAACATGACACACTAACTTGTGCCATCCAGTTTCTGTTGGAATCTCAAATGTGCAAAGCTATTTTGAAACTTTCCTTTTCTTTTAGTGACTAATGTGTTGTTTCTCTCACTGCAGATATAAAGATTCTAGCAAATCTGCATTTAAATCTTCTACTCGGCTAGAGTGTATGATGCAAGATTATCCTAAAACATTGCCTCCATCAGCAAGGGTTGGATTTACAGTGAGTAGAGTGCTGGATAACTTGTGTATCAATATCTTCCATTTGACATCTGTTTTCTTACTTCTTGGACAGAATATGTTATGAAGCTGCTTTAAAATCCGTCATTCATTTTGAAATTACAACTATTGTCTGACTTCTTAGGTGTTGGATACATGGCTTGCTTATGCACCTGTGAAGAACAACCCTGAAGATGCTGCTAAGGTATTTCTTTGTCCAGTATATTTTTAGTACATTGTTCACTGTGGCCCATTAAATAAGCTATCCCCCCATAAGTCCCCCAAACCCGCTGAAAGATTTGATCTCAGCTCTTTGGTATTTACCTGATAGACTAGATGGCACCTTTTATTGTTAGATGGTTATGTAAAAATTTCCAGAGGTATTTGTGTTAGGTGATTTTTCATTGACATTTCTTGTTTCTATACCATTGAAACTGTTTTGTGATTGATGTTTTTAAACTCACGTGCCCCATTCATCTCTATTAATTTTGTTGAATTGAACTGAAGGTACCCAAGGGAAATCCATATCACAGTGCTACTTCCGGAGAAATGGCCATTTATAGGGCAAACAGCCTCATATTAAGAAAGGTACTTTATAAGTCTTCTCATATTATTTTAGGTTTGTAACCAATTTTTTACTTGATAATGCTTATTTCAATGTCTGTATTATGATCCACACTATTCTCCAATGATTGTATGGTGGTTTTACAGTTGTACAACAAATTATTTGGGCAGTGCGTCAGACACTTTTTTAGCAATTTTTATTTAATGTAAAAGCAAAAGAAATTAAGAACTTTCCTCCCCTTGGAATTCCAGAGTCCAGACCATACCTTATAACCGAAGCCAATTGCCACTACCATGAATATACCATTTAGAGGTGTATCATGGGCCAGGTTGGCACGGGCACAGGCACAGGACAGCACATCACAGAACTAGCCATGCCTGCCCAGGAGTGACCCCTGTGCCATGCTGGGCTTGCCCTTCCAGCCTATTACCGCTGACGCGGCATGGGTCCTTTCCAAGCACAAGCTCGGCACTAGGTCCGGCCAAGGCCTAGGCATTACCCAACGGCAGTTTTTTTGAAAGTTTGACCCACATTGCCAAAATGACCCCTCCCAACAGCAATATAACGGTTGTTTGAGGGGTAATTCTGTGCGTTAATTATGAAACTAATCTATAAACATCCCAGGAATGACCCAGACACAGGCACGGGCACGGGTACGAGCACGAGCACAAGCATGAGCACCTAAGAAGCACGGATACGGACACGGCGATACGGCAAAATCCCAAAATGTAGGATACGGGTACGGCGAGGATACGACTAATTAAAATAATTATATATATTTTTATATATATAACAAACAAGACATAACAAACATTACTTAAATTGAAATAGATCAAAATTAAAAAAATATATATAATTTTCAAAACCAGCAGGCTACTACTAGCACAGAAGGCAGCAACACAGATGACCCAAAAAAAGCTAGCTAGGAAAGCATAACAAAAAGAGAAGATCGAAGCACAACAAAAAAGAGAAGACCAGCGGGTAGCAAGCAACACAACACCGAAAGGTAGCAAGCTAGGAAAGCAATTTTTAGTATTTAAAACCAGTTGGCAGCAACACAGATGACCAAGACCAAAAAAAAATCCCGAAGGCAGCAAGCAACACAACACTGGACCAAAACAAAATTCCCAAATTTTGAAAACCCTAAAAATCCCCAATCAAATTAACCTAATCAAATTTTTTGAAAGTCCACACTCCACACAGATTAGAAGATGAAGAGGTAAGAGCAGCAGTAGATCTGAAAAAAAAAAATAGAAGCAAGAAGAGGATCACAGTCGCAGAGCGCGATCGCAGCCGCAGGTGAGTTGCCCTTCCTCTTCCCTCTCCTTCTTCTTCTCCTCCTCTGGTCCTCTCGAGCTCCTCCTCTTCTCTTCTCTCTTCTCTCCTCTCTCTCTCTCTCACACCGAATGTCGATTGGAGTCGGTTCACAGATCAACAACGCTTTAGTTTTTTCTTTTCCAAGCCAAAACGACGTAACTTTGGCCTTTTTTTTTTCGTTTCGACCCACCTAAGTTTTTTAAAATAACAAAAGTATCCCGCCATATCCCCCACGTATCCGACCAAAAAAAATGATAGCCACTGTTCAGGACACTTCTACAAGTGTCGGACACGTATCCAACCGTCGGACACGTGTCCAACACTGCCACGGCGACCCCCCGACGAGTATCCGTGCTTCCTAGATGAGCACAAGCATGAGCACGGGCTGTGCGGTGACCAGGCCCTGCACATGTGCCTTGCATGGCACGATGTACAACGAAGCACGTAACTAACTAGCCATTACATTTCTGGGACCATTGAATCATGGTAGCTTGGTGCGTCTGCCTTCTTGTTTTGTGAGTCGGCTACCATATTTACCTTGTAAACATCTGTCAATGGCATATTTTGGTCTTGCTGACATCAGTAAGCAGAACCAGCGCATGGGCAGGGTGGAAATTTGTTCTCGCTTAGGTGAGCTGTGGCCCGAAGAAAGTCCTTGAGGCTTATTTTGGCTGATCGTCAAACCTGCTTCTCATAACCATAGCTTTTTCTGTTCATGAAAATAGCTTTGAACACAGATTGAGCTGCTACAAATTGAGAAGTTTTGAAAGAGAGTTTTTAAGAAATTTCTCATTCCCTCCAAGTATGTCGTGGTGTTCTGTTGTTTTTTGTTTAGCAGTCATTGCTGCCTTCTCACCAGGGGATGGCTTTCCTTCATTTTCACAGATTTCACAGTCTGCTCCCAACTCTGAAACTTGAACCCGAAAGTCAGGGGTCATATTATGCGCCATGCCCCAATGTTCCCTTCGCTCTATGACATCAGAATCTTAGTAATGTTAACAAGGATCATATTATTTCAGGTTGAACAAGACTTCAGCTCCTAATCGTTGCCCTAAAAAGTACTGATGCAAATTTGCTGGTGACAGAGTCTGCTTGGCTCATTTAACAACCTTGGTCATTGTTTTTGCAGGAACCAGTAAAATTATTGTCTATTCAGTAATATTTCAAACTTTGACCATAGGTTTCCATATGGTCTCTATTCAAGGGCAAACGAGCTATAGAAGAATTCTAAGATTAAAATAGCTCGACAATCGACATGTGTATGTGTGCATATGTGTACTTATGTGCTTGCTTGTGGCACTTGAAATTGGATAACTGACAGTGTGATGGTTTCATTTTAGAAACGAGATACTTTAGAACTTTGT